TTTCTTCAGTACCTCACAGGTATTTCCTGAAATTACAACCCCCAAAAGCTGAAGCCAAGTCTTCGTTTCAGGAGGGTCACCAAACGTTGCAGCACCATGAAGCTCAGTTTTTGGATCTCTTCTTGTGTTCATCTCACTGTTTTGTGACTAGAGTCTCCAGTCTCATGGCTTTGGATACTATCTATGTGTGGTGATCTCCCAGATTATACATTAAATCTCAGATTTCTCCCCTAAACTTTTACTCGATATCCCCGGGCTCAACATGTTCTAACAGAGCTCCTGATAGTTCCTCTCCCAAATACCAGTTTCTCTGAAAGACTTGCCACAGTTCAGTAGATCTGATGGGTCTGGTAGGGGTAGACAGCTGTGTGGCTGGACTGGGCTATAAGAGATACAATTGGAGGAGTCAGTGGGGCAGATCACACACAGCCTTTTAAGGCAAAATAAGAAGTTTGCATTTAACTTATGTGCAACAAGAATCTCTCACAGGGCTCTAAGCAGGGGTGTAATTGATTTAAATTATAAGGAGAAATAAGACATTGAGAATGATCAGAAGCTTACCAGGTAGCAAAAACTGAGGCCAGCCTTTCCACACTTGATCTTAGCCAAAAGGCTGAGAAGCGATAGAGGCCAGCCTTTCCAACAGAAGCAGCAGAAAGCATGAACAGCTGTCAGATCTGAGCTGCTTGTGTTTCATGACCCACCTTTACTGGATCTTTCATTAATCTGTATTTTAATATGGAGGCCATGATTTTTAAATGTCACCTCTGTAAAGCAAGTTGATTGGGCATCCATCCAACCAAGCCACTAAAGAGTGATACCTTGGAGTACTTCTGTTATAGGCTCTGGTTCTCATCTTTTCAGGTTCATAAACTCTATTTTATAAATGCAGTAAGAGTCCACTCATTACTAATCTAATCAACCTTGCAAAAGATGAATGAATTGTCACTTTGTTAATTTAAAATGAGTAAATTGGGCCAGGCACAGTGGCTAACACCTGTAATTCTAGCACTTTGGAAGGCCAAGTCAAGGCCTTCCAGATTAGAAGGCCAATCTCTCCCACATTTCTTATCAGGAGTTTGAAACCAGCCTGAGCAAGAGTGAGATCCTATCTCTAGTGAAAATAGAAAAATTAGCGGGACATTGTGCTGAGCACGTATAGTTCCACTACTGGGGAGGCTGCAGTAAGAAGATCACTTGGGCCTAGGAGTTTGAGGTTACTGAGAACTATGATGCCATGGCCCTCTAGCCTGGGCCAGCAGAGTAAGACTCCATCTCATAAAGTAAAATAAAATAAAATAAAATAAGTAAATTGGTTGAGATTCTTTTGGCTAGAATTACAAAAAACCAACATAAGAAGACCCAACCAAAAATGTTTTAAAGTACATAAAGAACAGTTTGTCACAGAATCCAGGTTTAGGAATGCCATTGGACCCCAGGAAAACATAAAAACCATAAACCTAAAATACATTCTGGAATCCTCACATTTCTCATGTATATTCCTCTCTGCACTTTTGTTTCATTCTTATCCATTCATCTCTGTGGAGGGGCTTCCTCTGATTCTCTAATTCCTATGGTAAGGTATTTTTTGCTCTTCTGTGAAGCTACATTTCTCTACCTATTTTCCCTTGCTAGCTCTTAAATTTT